GTTTAGAGTCAGAGGAACCAGCCATGGATAGTTAGCGTGTGTGTTAATCGCTCAGTCATGTCCAACTCTTTGCGACCCCATGGACCGTAGCCCGCCAGGCTCCTCTGTGCATGGGATTTCCCAGGCAAGAACACTGGAGTAGGTTGCCATTCCCTTCTCTAGAGGATCTCCCCAACCCAGGGATTAAACCCGGGTCTCCTGCAGTGCAGAACCACCAGGGAAGTTTTCAGTTAACATGCAAAAGAGAACAGGCACGTTCCCTGGAATGCAAATTTAGAGTAAGGGGAAACGTCTTTAGTTGAAATCTGACAGCTGCTGATCAAGCCCAGCCTTGCAAAAGGACCCACGTAGCCTCAAAAATTCTCCCTGATGTGTCTCATTTCAACTCAGATCAGGAGTGGAACGGGCAGTTCCTCAGACTTCCACTGAATCATGCCTAACCTTCTGGCTTCACTTATCTCCGGGCTGGAATGCTCTCTGCAGCCGTCAGCCATCACCCCCCACCCTTCCCCTCATCCTGCTCTGTCCTCAGATAACAGTCCTCTCCAAAGAGGCCCTGTTCCCACCACGTTTGGAATGCTTCAGAGGCAAACTGAATGTGAATCAGAACCCAAGTCCCTTCATGCCATTTGGTTCACCTTCCTCTCACATTCCACACCTCGCCCTTAGCTGGAGGGGCCCGGGTGGTTTTCCGCTCACGACTCCCCCAGTTCCGCCTGACCCGGCCCAGGCTTGCTGGGAGACTAAGTCCTTTGTTCCCGTCCCCCTTGGGGCCCTGGGCACCCTTCCTCGCTATCCCAGCTCTGCAACAAACAGTCTCCTCCTTGTCTGCCCAAAGCCCACTCTGGATCCAAGTTCCCGTGTAAGGCTCTGGCCCCGTAGTTATTTTCTAGTGATGTGTACCCTTGGTTTCTCCCTCAGGCTGGCACAGGAAGCCCAGAACGTTCTTTAAAGCATGGCAGAGGGAGAAAAGAGACAGCATCAGCCAGTCCCAGAGCCTTGCACTTTCTGGGGTTTTCAAAGTAGAAAACAGTTTCCTTTCCAGGGCTCCCCTATCTCCTCCAAAATGGAGGCGCTTGGTGCCTAGGGGTCTGTGTCATCAGGAATGTCAGGATGGGTAAGGGAGAAGGGTGAACAAAAGGCCTTGTGTGTGCCCAGCAAAATTTCCTTGGAACCTATCAACTCCCAAATATCCTTAAAGGGCTTGGAAATCAACCCGTATTGAGCATCCCTCAGGCGCCTTGCACATTCATTTTCCTTGTATAGTTTTATCGTTATTTGTATGCAGATGTACATGCAAACCACTGTGGGGTAGGTTTTATCATCCTTATTTTACAGATGCAGAAACTGAGGTGTGCTGTGCTAAAGACCTGGTGGGTCACAGAGCTAGTAAGGCGTGTAGCCCAGACTGAATTCGGTCCTGAGTTCAAACTCTCTGCTCTTTCATTTCCTCTTATTTAAAAATAAATATTGCTGTTTTTCTGAATATCTAAGGGATACATATTCTTTTTTTAATGTATTTTTCTACTGAAGAATAGTTTATTTATAATATTGTGTTAGTTTCTGGTGTACAGCAAAGTGATTCAGATATACATATTCTTTTTTTGGATTCTTTTCCTTTAGGTTTATTATAGGATATCAAACATAGTTCTCTGGGCTATACAGTAGATCCTTGTTGTTTATCTAAGTTTTTTTTTATATAGTAACGTGTATCTGTTACTCCCGTACTCCTGATTTATCCCTTCCCTTCCTTCTTCCCCTTCGGTAACCAGAAGTTTGCTTTCTATGTCTGTAAATCTGTTTCTGTTTTGTAAATAAGTTCATCTGCACCATTTTTTTTTTTTTTTTAGATTCCACATATAAGTCCTAAAAGTTTCCCTCTAAGCACTGCTTTTGCTGCATAGTTTAAGCTGTATTTTCATTTTCATTTTGTTCAAAATATTTTAAAATTTCTCTTGAGATTTCTTCTTTGAACCATGTGTTATTCAGATGTGTCTTGGGGATTTTCCAGCTATCTTTTTACTCTTATTTCTAGTTTAATTCCTGCGCAATCTGAAAGCAGACATTGCATGATTTCTATTCTTTTACAACCACTGAAGTATGTTTAATGGCCTAAAAGGTGTTCTATCTTGGTAAATGTACCATGTGAGCTTGAGAAGAATGTATATTCCATTGCACTTGGATGAAGTAGTCCATAGATGTCTATTCTATCCTATTGACTAATGGTGCTATTGAGTTCAACTATGTCCTTACTGATTTTTTGCTTCATGAATCTGTCCATTTCTGATATAGGGGTGTTGAAGTCAGTATCTATGATAGTGGATTCATTTCCTTGCAATTTTTCCTTACATTCAATCAGTTTTGCTTCACATATTTTGAGGCTCTGCTGTTAGGCACATATACATTAAGCACTGTTATTTCTTCTAAGTAACTTCTTAAGTCTAAGTTTATGATACCTTGTACAATTTTATGTCCTTTTTTCTCACTAAAAACAGGATTTTGATCCTAGGCATAAGCCCTTTCCACTACATAAATCTAATATTTCCTAATCAACTTGGTTGAGACCAGTTTGTGATGATTCACAGCATTGCCTGGCAAGATGCTATTCATGTGCTCTGGAAAGTGGTAGGAGAGGGTGCAGGACTTCAGGTGAAAGAGGGGTTGAGAGCAAGCCCTTGACAGCTGGCAGCCATTATCGACAGGGGAGATGGCAGAAGAACAGGCAGAAGTTTCAGTTATTGGGTGAGACAGCAGTCAGCATTGGCATAGATTGGACCAGTGATGCTCTTTCCATCTGAACACCTTGCCTGTTAGTACAGAGTTAGAATCAGGAACCCAAAGTAGAAGTACTTCTTAAGACAGAAGCCATGTGGGCAAAGGACAGGGCAAGGTTGAGAGCCCACATAGAGTAGACACCAAGGTCAATACCAATCACCCAGTCTGAGAGTCCAGTGGGTCTGCTAGATGGCGCCTCCAGTCCCTGGGAACCTTCTCATTTGTTGCCTTGGAGCTGTGCATTGCTTCCTGTCACCTGGGCAGCCGAGCCACAGTTTGAAAGTGAGTCATGACGGATGTTTGACATGTAAACCCTCATTAGTAACCACCTCTGGGAATTTCTTCAATTACTTTCCCAATCAATTCACTCGTCTTCTGGAGCTTTGGCCTTGATTGGCCATGCCTATGCTCAGAATGGAAGAAGGAAAAAGGCTCTAAATAAAGGATTGAGCAATGTTAAAATAGTAGGTTGGGTGAGGGCAATGACCTTAGCGGTACTGAATCAGCTATGTTTTATACTATTCTCAGTTTCAAGGTCTCCAAGGTCTATGCCCAATGCAATCATGAGCTGAGCTTCAGGACTTCCAGACCCCTCACACAACAGTAACCCTGAGCAAGCTTTTAGTGCCAACCAAGTCACTAGCTCCGAAGATAAGGGCTAACTTTGTCTTGCCTTCTAAGAGGGCTTTGGCATCTTTCATGGACTAAAATTTTTTCCTGAGCCATCTTTTGCTTTCACTGGAATACAGTGAAATACATAATGGATTTATGTATAATGGATAATAATACATAATGGATTAATAAAGAATGTTCTAGAACTGGCAATCAGATCCTCTCATAAGCATTGCCTTGAAGCCAAGAGACAGTGTAGTATAATCCTGGAGACTGAAGTCTCAGACTTTGAATCAATGTTATGACCAAGTGCAGTGGAAGGAAGACCGGAGCAGGAGGGGGAAGGAGAACAGCGATGTGGTCAGGATGCGGAGGCAGGCACGCCTTCGCTCCTTCCTGCCTTGTTCCTTACCCAACTAGTTACTTACCCAGAGCTTCAGTTCCGCCAGCAAGAATTCCCAGCATGGCCTCCTGAAGAAGGATTCCTTATCTGTTTATTGAGCATCTATTAAGCACTGTGAGCCTCTGTTAAGCCCAGCCTGGTATTCCTCATCTTCTATCCCAAACGCCTAATACAATGTCTGGTACATTTCAAGCATTTTATCAACAATTATTGAATAAGTAAATAAATGTATGGGTGGGGAAAAAAAATAAATGGAGAAAGAAATGAGTCAGTATAGAACTACTGACCTTTGAGAATCTGCTTTGGAAGGGCTGAAGGTTAGAGGAAGAGCTGGTTTTGATGTCCCTAGCAGTCACTGGTACCAGCCACGGAAGTAAGCAGAAATAAAAGAGTTGGCTCCCTTCAAAATACACAGCCCGTAGAAACAAGGTTGCTATGAAAGGGATGGAAAAAGCCAGAAGTTAACCAGCTCCATTGTGTAAGGAGAAATGTGGCCCAGCAAGACGGTTGGGCCAATTTCATTAATGCCCTTAATGATTAATTTCTTAGTTAATAATTGACATGTCGGGTAGCAGAGAAGCCTGAAAACTGAAATGGCGATTGTTTCATTATTTCGGATTCTCGTGCGTGTCTGGGTCCTGTTAATAGTCACCATGGGAAACATCTGCAGCGGAAAGGTGCGCTTTTAACCTTCTGACGTGTTTAAATAAATTCAAATAAAATAAACGTAAATACAGGTCTCCTGGGATACCAGAAGAGGGATGAGCATCATCAAGAAGGAGTACTGGACTTCCTTAAATATCTGGGTGCTCTGAACAGGTCCTCATTTAAGATCTGAGGCTCTTCAAACAGGGCTGCCAGAGAATTGAGTCACCCCACATGAATTGGGGGCGACTTGTATAACAGGAAGAGCGCTGGAGATTTTTGCTTTGTCATTTCCTCTTTGAATACAACAGAAAAGTCCATTTAGCCAGGATTCTGGAACTCTGCCGACGCTTCCTGTCCTATCTGACTGTAAAATTCAACAGGGGATCATAAATAATAGACTCGAGGCCAAAAATACATCTGGGGAATCCTGTCAAAGAGAAGGGCTGACGTCAATGACTTCTGCATGGCCTCTGATATCTAGTCCCGAGAGTGAGAAGCGAGAGTACAGCTGAGGAGAGGGAATGAAGCGGGGACTCAGCTCAGCCCAGGTGGCCCTGGTGTTCTCTGATCTGTGGCTGCATAAAAGTTTCCCCAGGGCTTAGCAGGTTAAAACAGCAGTCTGTCTCATGACCTTGGGGGTCAGGAATTCGGGTAAGTTCAGTTGGGCAATTTTTCTGCTTCACATGTATCACCTCAGGAGGTCTCAGCTGGAGGGTCCGTGGCTTCACCCCTCCACTCACATGTCTTGAGCCTGGTGGGCTTGACTGGAACTGCTGAGCGGAGCGTGTTCCTGAGATCTCATGGCATGGCAGGCTCAGGGCAGACAGCCTCCCACACGGTGGCCCAGGGCTCCCAGAGAAAGTGTTCCAGGAGACCTGGGTGGAAACTGCACAACTTCTTAGGTCTTTACCCCCAGAAGTTCTAGAATGTCCCTTGGACAGCATTCTACTAGTCAAGCAGGTCACTAAGGACAGGCCAGCTCCAAGGGGAGAGGCTTGAGACTCCTCCTCCAGATGGGAGAAGTGTGTGCCCAGCTGATCAGTTGTGTCTGACTCTCTGCAACCCCGTGGACTGTAGCCAACCAGGCGCCTCTGGCCGTGGGGATTTCCCAGGCAAGAATACTGGAGTGAGTTGCTGTTTCTTACTCCAAGGGGATCTTCCCCACCCAGGGATCGAACCCACGTTTCCTGCCTTGGCAGGCAGATTCTTTATCACTGAGCCACCTGGGAAGCCCTGTTGGTGGGAGAAAGAGCAAGCATTTGTGGCCCCATTAACCTAGGCCATTGGAGAATGGAAGAAATGTCCCCCCAGGGGAGGGTGGCCACCTGCAGAAGCCTATTTTCATTTCTCTGCAATAGCAAGGAGACTGGAGAGATGAAAGGTGGATCTCTCTTTTTTTTTTTTTTTGCCCCCACCCCCACCTCAGCACTGCACAGCATGTGGGATCTTAGTTCCCCGACCCATGGATCTAAACTGCATCCCCAGCAGAGGAGGGCAGAGTCTTAACCACTGGGCCTCCAGGGAAGTCCCACAAGGCAGGTCTGGAACACATCCTCCCAACCTCTCCCAGGGACTCAAGGGTGCTGCAAACAGCCCCAGAGACCTGGAGACCCAGGGCCTTCCCAGTGAGTACCTTTTTCTGAAATGAAGAGCTCTCTCTGACCTCCCTCCCTAAGATTTCAGCCCATCTTGTCTACAAAGTCATATACCTCTGGAGGTCTGGAAAACACAGAGATGCTCTTTCTGCAGTCACACTGATGAGGAAATTGATGAGGAAACCAAAGCACAGGCCTCAGACCCAGCACATCCTATAAACATTTATGTGGGGCCTTTCTTCACCTGTTAAAGACATAATTCTTCATAAACTTTTCCACAATGTTTTCCAGTTCCTAAACACAGGGCAGCAAGGTTATGGGTGAAGACAATCCATGCATTCCACGACAGACGTTTATTGCCCTCAATCCCGGGGCAGGCAGAGCCGGCTCCTAGCAGTACAAGGAAGGAAGGAGCCCGTACACCCTTCACACCAAGTGAGTCATAGGTAATGACAAGAGCCCAGAACTCTACAAAACCTTCTCAAAACTTCCTGAGTAAGGACTGTCTTTTAACCTCTTCACAGACCAGGAAGGAATCGACTCAGAGGGGATTTGTCTAAGGCACACAGCTGGGGGTGGTGGTAAAGCTGAGATTAGAACCTAGGTCAGGCAGTGAAACCTCCTTTCAGAAGATAAAACTCCCCTCACAGAAAAGAAGCAGAGACTTCCCTGGTGGTCCAGCGGTCAGGACTTTGCCTTCCGATGCTGGGGGTACAGGTTCGATCCCTGGTCAGGGATGCAGAATCCCACATGCCTAGTGACCAAAAAACTAAAACATGAAACAGAAGCAATATTGTAACAAAGTCAATAAAGATCTTAAAAATGGTCCACATTAAAAAAAAAAGAAAAGAAAACAGGAAGCAATCGCACTTCTGGGTAAACACATCTGGGTACAGAGGGTGCCGGTCTTCCTAAGGTCCCCTCCTTCACATTTCCATCATTAGTACTGGAGAGGGGACTAGAGAGGAACCTGAAGCAACACACAGGACCAAATTTTCCAGTTAAGCTATGATCTCTCCAGGCCCTGTTTGTCTTCTTGGGCACTTTTGAAAAATATCCATCGCCTCTGGAGATCAGGCTGGCAATATATAAAAGAGAGCTATAAAACTGTTCCTACACTTTGACCCAATGGTCCTGCTGTGGAATAGACCCCAGGGGAAATATGCAAAAGAGAAACGCAAGCAAATAGCACTGAGAGGTTTACGGTAACACCATTCACAACAGTGGAAAAATGGGGCATGACCCAATGCCCCAAATTAGGAAAAGGTTATGCGAACTATGGTACATTAAGACAATGGAATGTTATGTTACTATTAAAGGGAACTGAGTTTACAGATTCTGTTGATACATCGAAAGGCACATGTAAGACCCGCAAGAGAAAAGAAAAGAATGTGAAAGAGTGTGTACACCCTGACCGCGGACATAAATCAGTCTGCGTGCTCATCGATAAGGATCAGAAGCCCACAGAATGCTGCAGATAACTGGTGCTCGAAATTTATAGCATTTTTCCCCTCTAAACTCCACAGTACCTTGAAAAAAGATCCATCATTCACTTTTGTTCCCCATGAAGAGAGAGGGGATTTCCTCATTCCGGGCCTCAGTGTGTGTTGGCAATGTAATGTGCCTGTAGGGAGAGCCAGTAGCCGGCTGATCCACATGATAGAAACACGGTGTTCAGAGCAAGGGGAGGGGGTGTCTGGCCTACACCCACTGGGCCATCTCTCTGTAATCACAGATAGTCCTGGGCCCTGCACCCCAGGCCAGATGAGAGCCCATTTCAAGGATAACTAGCATGTGTGGTGACTAAGGACCATGGAATATGGAAGAGCTTGAAAAGCCTGGGAATGTCTGGTCCGAAGCAGAACAACCTATCAGAGACCCAAGAAACTCTCCTCCAGCCCTTGGGAAGCGTTCATTTGAGAGGGGGTTGGGCTTGTTTAGTGGGTTGGCAGGACCTATGGACAGAAGTTATGGAAGAGCAGACTTCAGGCTGACATGAGGAATACAGGATGCAAGAGGCAGCGAGTCCCACACCACTAGAAGTATGGAAGCAAAGCATGTAAATTTCCATCACATAAATGACCCTCCAGTTTGACCTTCACCAGCTCCAGCAGAATTACACGTCAACCCAAGGGACAGACACAGTCCCTCTGATTCACGGAGGCCTGAGGGAAAAACATGGTAAAAATAGAATATTGTGCCCTCCATGTACTAAGATAATTTTACTGACCCACTGTCAGTGGGGCTTCCATTGTCAGTTGTTTTCCTAGGACTGATCCTAAGTGTTTACAAAGTGATGTCATGGAGAACTACAGACAGGCCAGAGGTACAACCTATAGCTTTCCTGTTTTCCGATGTTAAGTGAATTATCCTGAATTGAGCAGTATCCATGATCTTTGACCTCATCAATGACGCAAACAACCATGTCTTCAAGAACTTTACCTTAACAGAATGTTGTAGTCTAGTGACTTCTGCACTGTTTAATGCAGTGGTAAAGAATCTGCCTGCCAACGCAGGAGAAACAAGGGACATGGTTTTGATTCCTGAGTGGGAAAGATCCCCTGGAGAAGTAAATGGCAACTCACTCCAGTATTCTTGCCTGGAAAACTCGATGGATAGAGGAGCCTGGTGGGCTACAGTCCACAGGGTCACAAAGAGTAGGACACGACTGAGTGACTGAACGTGCACACACATGAACTACTGTCAAAACATACTAAATATTCACAAAGTTCAATTTCTTTCTTACCTATCTGCAAAAGTATATAAACAGAAGCTCCAGTATTTTCTTTCCAAGCTCCTTGGATCATTTTACTCACTCCTCCCTCCCTGCCCTCAACTTGAATACTCACTGAGAGTCCACAGCTCTTGTCAAAGAGAGGTCAGTCTGATAATATTGGAGCAACTATAACAGGAACAAACACACCAGGTTTTAAGAGAATGGGAATATCTAATAAACACTACTTCCTCTGGAAAAGAAGGTATATCTATTGGAAGGTATTGGAGCTGTGATTTGAGCAACTTTTCCCACACCAGTTTAAAAGTATGATGAATAAAATCTTATAATAAAATATATGCAACTTTATAACAACTAAATAGAAAGCTTTAAAAAATAAGGGATCTCTTTACTGAAAGTCAGTCATGCTACCTACTGAATGGATGGATTCATCTGTTAATTAAATATTTATTAAGAACCTACTTATTTAGAACCTATTTATTAAGGCATTTATTAAGAACCTACTTATTTAGAATCTATTTATTAAGAAAACTATTTATTAAGAAATCTATTTATTAAGGCATTGTATGCTAGATGTTGGGGATACAGTAAGAGGAGGAAAAACAGAGGGTCCCTGAGATTGTGAGATGATAAACAAGTAGATGAGACAGAAAACACACATGCAGATGAACAAATTTCTGATTATAAACTATGGTCCGTGCCATGAATTAAATAAGCAAGGGGATGTGATACACAGGGATGGGAGGAGGGAAGAGACAACTTCAGAGAAGGTCCCCAGGGTGGGCTTCTCAGCAAAGTGATGCTGAAGCTTGAGGAGAGGCTGTCACATGGAAGAGGGGAAAGACCTACACAGCACATCACCAAACGCAAATCATGACACCCAAAGGCCCTAAACCAAAGGGCAAACTTACACTCACATTTTAGTTGGAGTCCATCGTGTATATTTTCTTATTTTTTTACCTTTTTTGGCTGTTCTATATGGCATGCAGGATTTTAGTTCCTTGGCCAGGGATTGAACTGGTACCCCTGCAGTGGGGGCTCGGAGTCTTAACCACTGGACTGCCAGGGAAGTCACCCGTCATGTATATTTCAATGCCCTCTAGGGTGCCTTCCCTGGTGGCTCAGTCAGTAAAGAGTCTGCGTGCAACGCCAGAGACCCGAGTTCTATCCCTGGGTAGGGAAGGTCCCCTGGAGAAGGAAATGGCAACCCACTGCAGTATTCTTGCCTGAAGAATTCATGCACGAATGAGCCTGGGGGTTGGGGCTACAGTCCATAGGATCATACAGAGTCGGATGCTCCTAAAGCAGAGTTGTTTTTAGGCTCCCGATGCCCTGAGTGAACAGGTATCTGGTGCTAAGAACTTCCCTATAGCTGGGCCATTAATGTCCTCATTCAAGCAGGCACACACACTCTCCTCCCCTTCCTTGGTCAAGGTTTCCTGCAACTTTCTGGATGACACAGGGACAAGAAGACGTCACACTCACAGACAAGCTTCTCACTGGCCCTGCCCATGGGGAGCCCTCTTAGCTGAGCAGGGTCCCCAACCCACACCAGAGGAAACAGCAAAGAAAGTTGTGGACTTGCTCTCAGTTCAGTTCAGTTCAGTCGCTCAGTCGTGTCCGACTCTTTGCTACCCCATGAACCGCAGCACGCCAGGCCTCCCTGTCCATCACCAACTCCCAGAGTCCACCCAAACCCATGTCCATCAAGTGTGGACTTGCTCTAAAGTAGTTCAAATTCCCTGCAAGGGCACCTGACTTATCTTAAAATGTAAGACACCTGGATTGAGTACGTTGCAGTTTCCATGCCCGCTGAAGACATAAACGCACGGTCGGTAGGTTGGATTTATGAGATGGTACCATCTGGGATTCACATTTTGTCCATTAGGTCGAGCTAAGTGCTGTCAGGAATGCGGGAAGAGCCATGCTGAAACGGGGGAGGAGATAAGCAGTTAAGGCGCCTTAAGTGAGCCCAGCTGGATGAGCAGGCCCATCAGTAGCAGCACCACACCAGGCAACCCCGCTGAGCCAACTTCAGACTCACTTAACCCTCAGACGTTCAGAAAGCAAAACACCAGTCCTTTGCTGTTTCAGCTCCCTGGCTTTCTGTGCACACTTACGTGACAAGAAAACCGGAAGAGAAATCACCCAGGCACACTTGAGACTGCAAAGAACAAGGGTAAGTCTGACCTTGAACTTGAACTTGACTCACACTATAGGGTTTTGTGGAAGACGAAACACAACAGCTCTGACTCTCAGAGGTTTATTGACACTTAGTTCAGTTCTGAATATCGTCAATGAAAGGGTAGGAGGAAAGTCCCTGGATTCTGTTTATAGAGAGATAACCCTGAAGTCAGGTGAAAAAAACAAACGAACAAAAAAAACTGGGTATTAAAATAGTATTAGAAAAAAATAAAAAAATAAAATAGTATTAGAAGAGAAAGATAGCTTTCTAATGGGACCAGAAATAGCAGAGACGCTTCTGATATGAAACGTTTGTCACTTTAATGTCAAAGAAACATGAGAAAAGGGAACCCTCGTGCACTGCTGGTGGGAATGTGAATTGGAGCAGCCTCTATGGAGAACTGTATGGTTCTTGTTCAGTCGTTCAGTCGTGTCCGACTCTTTGCGACCCCATGGACTGCAGCATGCCAGGCTTCCCTGTCCTTCACCGTCTCCAGAGTTCATTCTAATTCATGTCCACTGAGTCGGTGATGCCATCTAACCATCTCATCCTCTGCCACCCCCTTTTCCTTTTGCCGTCAGTCTTTCCCAGCATCAGGGTCTTTTCTAATGAGCTGGCTTTTCACATCAGGTAGCCAAAGTTTTGGAGCTTCAGCTTCAGCATCAGTCCTTCCATTGAATATTCAGGGTTGATTTCCTTTAAGATGGAAGTACCTAGAAAAACTAAACATAGAACTACCATATGATCCAGCAATCCTACTCCTGGGTATTTTTCCAAAGAAAACAAAAACATGAAATTTGAAAAGATGTATGTACTCCCATGTTTGTGTGCATGCAGTCACTCTGTTGTGCCTGACTCTCTGCGATCCCGTGGACTATAGCCCACTAGGCTCCTCTTTCCATGGGGATTCTCCAGGCAAAAATACTGGAGTGGGTTGCCATTTCCTCCTCCAGGGGATCTTCCCACCCAAGGGATCGAACCCAGGGCTCCTGCATTGCAGGCGGATTCTTAACCATCTGAGTCACCAGGGAAGCCCACCCCCATGTTTATTGCACCGTTATTTAAAATTGCCAAGATACGGAGACAACCTGAGTGCCCATCAATAGAGCAATGGATAAAGAAAGCGGTATGTATATAAATACAATGGAATACAACTCAGCCATAAAAAACACAATTGCCATTTGTGACTATAAGGATGGATCTAGAGGCTATTAGGCTCAGTGAAATAAGTCAGACAGAGAAAGACAAATACCATATGATTTCACTTACATGTGGAATCTTAAAAAAAAAAAAACCCAGATTTACAGAGAACAGATTGGTGATTGCCTGAGACAAGGGCTAGGGGGTGGGTAAAATGGGGAAACAGAGTCAAAAGGTACAAATTTCTAGTTATACAATAAATACCTCCTGGGGATGTAATTTATGACTTCCAAATTACTATAAATAATAATACAGTACTGCATATTTGAAAGATGCTAAGAGAGTAAATCTTAAAAGTTCTCATCGAAAGAAAAAAATTCTGAAACTTTGTATAGTGATGGATGTTAACCAGACTCATTGTGCTGGTTATTTCATAATATGTACAAATATTGAATCATTATGTTGTACAACTGAAACAATGTCATGTTTTGTGTCAACTAGACCTCCATTAAAAAAAAAGCACAACTTGAAGTGCATCCAATGGTTGTATAAAAATGCAATCTGGAAAAAAAAGAACATAATCTGAGCCATTCTCAGTAATCTTTTACACACTTACAGAGAGCAACTAAATGCACAAACATTCAGCCAAGGAAGAAACGTGTCTTCCAGAGAATGTAGACCGGAACTGGTTTGATTTAGATTCCCGGTAAAACCGAAAAATCAGTGAATAACAGGTGGTAAGTAAACTCTGAGAAAAGGAACGAGTGAAAGATACAACCAAACTAGCTTCAGTTATTTTAAAAGATTTTTTACAGATTAATTTAAAAAATAGAGAAGGCTGTGTCCTGTGTGCCATGATTTGCAATAGATGTGTAACAAAATCTCTCAGGGTCTCTTGGTCAGAGGAGACACATGGGCTACATGTAGAGGTGCGGGGTCCGCGGTTGACAGAACAAACTGAGTGGACTCTTGGCCCTGCATGAGCCTAAAGAGGGCTCCCCACTGTCTGGCCCTAGTCCTGTTCACTGAACTGTTTTTGCTAGCCTCCCAGTGGACACCAGAAGACCGCGTATCGTGTTTATGATTGATGCCGTGTTATAAGGGACTGTCGGCTCACTGGAGGGTTCCACCCGGGCGTCCACACACGAGCTATGGGAGCTTTTGTGGGCTTCAATTTCCTTCTCTGAGTCTCAGCAACATGAGGATACCTCCTAGAGGCTTTGCGAGAATTAGACTGCACAGCAGAAGTGAAACACCCAGGAGAGAGATTCAGTAAATGTGGACTTCCTTCTAATCTTTAGAAAGGGCTGGGATTCAATATTATCTCCGATGGCTGAGATTGATAGATTAAAAATCCAAAACAAAATATAATAGAATACACACCTTATCTTAAAATAGACAAAGGGTAGCCAAGGGAGAATGAACCTAATATCAACTTTGATTAAAAAAATAGAAACGCTGGGAATGTTTTAATTGCCTACGAGTTCATGGTTAAATGGTAGCTTTTAGACTTTTCTTTTTAATGTATCTGATCCTGGATTTTTTTTTTTTTTTTTTTTTTTTTNCTGACGAGGACTACCATGATCATGAGAGTTAATGCAGTGGCAGCTGGGAGATGATGGTTTGTTTTTCTGTTTTGATTTTAGCAATCTGAGTCAGAGGATTCCAAAACATTCACAGTCCATTTTAAAACCCAAATATTTGTGAATTTCAAGTGAAAGCAGCTTTTCAAAAATTGCTACTTCAGGACTTCATAGACCTGCTATATGTTCATGTTCTTAGACGAGTCCGACTCTTTGTGACCCCCTGGACTGTAACCTGCCAGGTTTCTCTGTCCACCAGGTTTTCCAGGCAAGAATACTGGAGTGGGGTGCCATTCCTCTCTCCAGAGGATCTTCTCAAACCCAGGGATCGAACCCACCTCTCTTGTGTCTCCTGCATTGGCAGGCAGATTCTTTACCACTACTGCCACCTGGGGAAGCCTGACCTGTTATACAAATTTTCCTAATTAAGGCAAGGGCTATGTATGATAAGACAATAAAGAGATCATTTGTGTGTGTGTGTATTAAAAAATTTCTCTAGGCTTTCAACTCATTTCTTCATGGAAGGCTTCCTCATATTCCCTTCCTTCTTGTTTGCACTTCAAAGCAATCCATTATGTAGTCTCTCTTTTGAGCCCCAAATTTGTGAGACTTCTTTTATGAGGAGACATGTTTATGCATGTAAGATCTGCACACATCTTTGGAAAAAAATCCTCCCATCATACCTTTGAAAACCCAAAGCTTCAGACATTAGGCCTGAATTTTCACAAAAAAGAGGAAATATTTTCACCATTCTTAAAGTGATCAAAAACATCCAAGTGGACTTTTAGGGAGTTTTCCAAAAGCAAAAGAAAGGGGAAGTTAAATAGAAGAGAATCTGGTACCTGAATGAATTTTTTCCCAAAATACAAAAGATTAGTTTCACAAAAATCAGAGCACAGTGTATCTCAGGGGCTCAGAATAGCTCCTGAACTATCTGGATAAGTATATCATTTGTTATACAATTTATATTGTTATAACAATTGTTATATTATTATATTGTTAAGGCAAGAGAAGAATACAAGCTCTATAAATGAGTATATTATGATTTTCTATTGTGACAAGTTGTTATCAGCAATTTTGAATCTCAGCCCTTTGCTTGTTAAGCTTTACAGTAAGCAGAGCTTCCAAATTAAGAATATATTTGAAACACTTTCTTAAATTGCCTTTAACATGAGACTCCTTGATTGAATCTAACCTGCTCTGTGCTGCCGACACTCTTGTTTTCACTGGCTAGCAGTGCCGACCCTAGACAGTGGGTCAGGAAGGTAGGAAGACACCCAAATATCCTCCCCAAATAGCTGACATACCTTTGGAGGCAGCACTGTCTTGACTACACTTCACCACAATGGCATTTTCCTGTCCAAGTCTTCTCCCACCGTGGGAAATTGTCTATGAACAAATCTATCTTCTGGTCCACTGGGTTACCTTTTCCTCAAAATTCTGTTTACCTGGGGTTCTTCCTTCCTCTTCCCAGAAATCTATGGCCTTCAGTCTTTCTCCTCCTCCAGTTAGCTCTCTGATTGAAAACATATTGAATTTAACATGACTTAAATATTGAATTTAACATGACTTCTTGGTGCTGTTGAGAACAGTTCTAAGTGGCAAAATATCCCCCCAAAAGAAGAGAGGATTATGGAGGTGAATGGTACTGAGAATGAATCTGGTATGGATATACCTGTTGCTATGAGGATAAATATATGAGAAGTATAACTGAGCTTGTAGCAGGGTCTACTAAAATATAACTTTCTGTTTTTCTTTTCTTAAAAATTATTTTATTGAGGTATAGTTGATTTACAGTATTGTATTTTTTTTCTGGTGTACAGCAAATTGATTCAGTTATACATATATAAATTTATACTTTTTCATATGCTTTTCCATTATGGCTTACCACAGGATATTGAATATAGTTCCCTGTGCTATACAGTAGGACCTTATTTATTCATTCTATATATAGTAGATTGCATCTGCTAATCCCAAAATTCCAGTTCATTCTTCCCCCACCTACTCCCCCTTGGAAACCATAGGTCTGTTCTCTGTGTCTGTGAGTCTGTTTCTTGTTTGTAGATAAGTTCATTTGTCATATTTTTAGTTTCTGCATATAAGTGATGTCATATGGTATTTGTCTTTCTCTGATTTACTTTACTTGTTGTTGTTGTTTAGTTGCTAAGCTGTGTCTGACTCTCTGCAACCTCATGAACTGCAGCATGCCAGGCTTCCCTGACCTTCTTTATCTCCCGGAGTTTGCCCAAACTCATGTCCATTGAGTTGGTTAGTATGATAATTTCTAGGTCCATCCATGTTACTGAAAATGGTATTATTTCATTCTTTTTTTATGACTGAGTAGTATTCCATTGTATTCGTATGTGTATATATATACACACACATCCATTCCATTGTGTGTGTGTGTATATATGTATATATTTATCATTATTTTATCTATGGACACTTAGGTTGTTTCCATTTCTTGACTATTGTAAATAGTGCTATACTAAACATTGGGCTAAAACATGAGTTTCTATTTTAAAAACTCAAATGGTATTTTATTATGTGAATGTTGTAAATGCATAAAATCAATAATAAGAACAGCTTCAAATAACCTGTTGATGGCCCATTATAGTAGTAAGCCTTGCATTGCACTGCGGCCTGGTTTCAAAGTTGCAGCACTGCCTAAGTTCAATGTCAGATATCTCAGTTTGCAAAGATCCTTTGGCTCTCTCTGTATAAATAAATGAGACATTCTTTTTTCTCAATAATGATAATCACACTATTTGTAGATTGAATCAAGGACACAGGTAGAAAATTTAATGGAAGGGATGGAAGAGAAACAGGAGTTAATGTTGATGCTTCAGGTGCTAAACCTAGGCAACTGGGGAAATTAATAAGTTCAGTTATGAAGACATAATCTATAAAATGCTAACATAATGTCCATGTTTGGTGTAGGTACAAAGAAACCAACTGAGAAGAGAAATTCTGGGAAAAGGACATTGGGACAAAGAGTGATGCATTTACGTGGGAAATTCCTACCTTGGAGGGTGAGATACTTAAGCAGATGTTTCATACGCAATTGCAGATTTCCAATTGGAAGTTGAATAAGGCAGTAAGTAAATCGGGTGGTGCTAGTGGTAAAGAGCCCGCCTGCCAATGCAGGAGACGTTAAGAGACCAAAGAGACACAGGTTTGACCCCTGACTTGGGAAAATCCCTGGAGGAGGAAGTGGCAATCCACTCCAGTATCCTTGCCTGGAGAATCCCATGGACAAAAGAGCATGTCAAGCTACAATCCACGGGGTCACAAAGAGTCAAACACAACTGAAGTGACTTAGCAAAGACACACTGGAGACAGACATTTAGTAGTCATCCACACAGATCTGATGCTTAAGGCTTTGAGTAGATAAGGGAGAATGATGACAATCCCTTTGATTTTTATAATATTCTTTTCATTGCCTTCTCCTCTGGTGTGTACTCCATTATTATGTTTCTTCTATGTCTGTCTATTTTGGTTTAGCTTACGTGCTCACAGTGGGTAAGAATGTGTCTAACTCACTTTGAACAGTACACATTTCAATACCATTACTAAGCAGGCTCGCTCTCTCTTTTTTTTTTAGTATTTATTTTTAGTTATTTGGCTGCATCAGGTCTTAATTGCGGTACGCAAGATGTCTGATCTTGGTTGCAGCATGCAAACTCTTAGTTGCAGCATGCAGGATCTGGTTCCCTGAACTGGGATCCAACCTGGGTCCTCTGCATTGGGAGTGTGGAGTCTTAGCCACTGGACCACCAGGGAAGTCCCGCCAAGCAGGCTCTTAATGTGTACATTTCTCATCCAGATCTGAGTTGGTTTGACCTGGGCTTGGGGAGGGCAGGACCCAGCTCCACGACACAGACCATGGAGTTAAGTATGAGTAGAGAGACAGGGCTGAGAATTAAAAACCCACTCAAAAGGCAGCGCTGTTATGAAGGTCCTGGGAGGAGGCGGAATCCAGGCAGAAGACCATCGGAGGGCAAGGGAAACAGGTTAGAAAGGGAGGGCAGAAGGTTTAAGGAGTAAGGAGGAAATAGATAACACGTGATGGTTTTCTCTGAGCTCCTCCCGAGTGTATAATTTCAGAAGCTCTGACACACTCTCTTCATAGTTCACCCAGTATCTCGGACTTTGGAGCATGCATCCGGATGTGTACCTTCCCACATGTGGATTAGGGTCTTTTTTTACAGTCAGTTGTGATTTTGACCATCTGCAAAGAACTAAATTGTAATCATCTCAATGGCAGGGATGTGTCAGCAGCGCCCCTGCCCACCCCCTTCATGGTCTACCCTAGAATCCTTGAGGAACTGCCCCAGGCCTCCTGCAACCTGGGTTGAATGAAAGCAGGGTCCACTGGGTGCCCCCAAAATCAAGGACTCATTCTGCTAATACTAAACCGAGGACCTGTCCCTCGCTGTATCTTTTTCCTTACCCACATCATTCTCTTCGTACCCCCGCGCAACCTCCTCACTCCCCAGCCCTCACCAAGCCTGGCTCTTAACGTGCACATTTCTTAGCCAGATCTGAGTTGGTTTGACCTGGGCTTGGGGAGGGCAAGACCTGGCTCCAGGACACAGACCATGGAGCTGAGTGTGAGACAGAACCCTGGAGGAGGATGCTAGAGAAAGCCATCTCATGTTATCTCTTTCCTCCTTACTCATTAAACTTTCTGCCCTCCCTTTCTGACTTGCTCCACTTGCCCTCACAGTCCAGGTCTCCTCCGGCTGGGTTTGCAGCTTTCTCTGACACAGCACTTTCTCTGAAAAACCCTGCTTCAGGCTAAATGGGCCCCAGGTTGAGAATTTCTGCACTTTTGCACAGGCAGGCTTGCCCAGTGCATCCCAGAAAGAGATCTGGTCCTTCTCGTGGTTGTCCACACCCTTGGCTGTGGCCTGTTCATCCCACATTTCTGACACCCTTGCCCCACTTCCTCTACTATGAAGGAGAGTGAAAAGCTAAAGGTTGAAACAGTTACATCCTGTTTTAACAGGTATATGATCACTAGCAAATAAACATAATAAAATATAATTCAAGTGCATGAATAAAAACAGCTCACCTTTGGGTGGATATAGCTTTGGGGTTAAAGAGAAACTTTTTTGCATAAAATTAGAACCAGTTGCTGTGTTTTTAGAAAAGGCTTTGCTTTGCCAAGCAAATTGGCAGAGATGTTCTTGCAATAAAAGGACCACATCCTATTATCTTTTCCTAGCTCCGACCTATAAAATGTGGTCTCTATGGCATTTCCAAACATCAGGGAATTATAATTTCCTCCCATCACACCACCAATGTTGCTAGGAACAGAAAGAGACAAGCCAACATCTTTATTAATTTTTTTGAATGAATTGTTACTATACACATGTCAAGTGTTAGAAACTAAGCACTATGAGAATTTCAGTTGCATAGATGCGCTGATGCCTGGTCCTCAGGCACTCACAATCCAGCGGGGGAAACCAGACATGTACATTTAGCCACACTACAGAGCAGTATGTCATAACTGCCATGGGAGTCAGTGGTGGGGAATTCACGTGCCATGGGTTTTCAGAGGAGGGAGAGAGCATTTCTGGCTTAATAGCGGAAGTTCAAGTTGAGCTTGCCTTTTGCTTATTCAGTAACTATTGACTGGATGTCTCTGGGGACTGGGGACTGCGCTCATTGTTGGGGGACCCAAGAGTGGGCAAACAGCCATGGCCCCATGGCTCCCATGAGAGCCTAGAGAGAAAATAGACCTTAAAAGATCACACAATAAGGGGGGTGTGGGATGGATTGGGAGGTTGGGATTGACATTTATACAATATTGATTCTATGGACAAAATAGATAGCTAATGAGAACTGACTGTATAGCATAGGGAACTCTCCTCAGTGCTGTGAAGACCTAAATGAGAAGGAAATCCAAGGAAGAGGGGATATATGTATACGTGTAGCTTATTCACTTTGCTATACAGCAGAAACTAACAGTATAAAGTAATTATGAAAAAGTGAAAATTAGTCACTCAGTCATATCCAACTCTTTGTGACCCCATGGACTGTATTGTAGTCCACCAGGCTCCTCTGTCCACGGAATTTTCCCGGCAAGAATACTGGAGTGGGTTGCTATTTCCTTCTCCAGGGGATCTTCCCAACCCAGGGATCGAACCCAAGTCTCCCACATTGTGGGCAGACTCTTTACTGACTGAATCATCAGGGAAGCCGCTATACTCAATGTTGATTTTCCTTCTATGAAGAGCTCGTCTCAGCCCCTTCCTCTTCCTCGCAGGAGTGAGTTGCCAGAGAGCAAGCATTCTCATGGACTCCCAGCAACTAAACTCCAATTTTAAAAATCACACAATATATGATAATAGCTTATGGTAAGTTGAAGGAAGGAAGTAGTGGGAGTTAAGAGGGCTCAGAGGAGGGGGTCAGGTCAGGGAAGAATTCCCTATGGAAGCGATGTGACAGCTGAGATCTATAAATGAGTAGGAGTTAACTGGGGGAAAAAAGAGAAGAAAAGCAAGAAGAAAGGAGAAGGGAATAGGCATTACTGTCAAAGGGAACAGCACACGCAATACCCTAATGTAAAAATAAGCCTGGTGACTTACATGTTTGAAATGCCCCATGTAGCAAAAAATAATAGGGAAGAGGGAAGAACAGGAAGAGACTGGAGTCAGGCCACTCAGGACTTGGGGAAGTAAGCACTTTGGTTTTGATCCCAAGAGCAATGAGAATCTA